AATCTAACTAATTGCTATTTCTATCGTTACAACGCTGTTACCGTTACTAATGACAATTGCCTGGTCATTAAATGTACACAATTGACAAAATAGTGGAAATGTTTAAAGACTGTTAGTCTGGTTTAACTAGTAAAGCAGCAATTCAGATAAGATAATCTTTTTATGGAAAACAAATAACTAGTATAACTATTTTATTGAAATCAATCTGGGTGAATCTGCAGACTTTCAGTGACTTTGTGGTTACAGTTTTAAGACATTTACTCACACTTGTGACAAAAACACGAAATTCCAAATTTTTTGGATGCAAACTTTTAGCGTAGCATGTCAATTTCATCCTAACAAAAATCAAGTCAACATCGAGCATTGATGAGCTTATCCTGATCTTTCTAAACAAGAAAAGGAAGAAACTGAGATTTTGGGTTCATCCAAAGAAGGCAGCAGCGGGGAGAATCATGGTTTGATCCAGGAAGCTGAAGCTGTATCACGTCTGCTTTCGTGCATATTTCAGGATGTCAGTGAGGCAGTTTGAGCTTTTATTGGCAGAGCTGGGACATCATCTGAGGAGGCAGAGAAATCATTTCAGATTGACCCGAAGCAGCATCTAGCTACGGGTCTGAGGTAAATAGTATTATTATTTTCATATCATTGTGTATTTAATACCTGTGCAGCTTCTCAGCTATGAGCTCATCTGTTGCCAACAGACATCTAAATGGTCAGCTCTATTTATTCCCGTAAAAATCTGAAAAGCTTGGTTTTGGGGAGTCCAAAGAATATTTTTTACGCGCATAACTTTTGCATTGATATCTGGGCAAAAACGTCCTCTTCTGTCCACTGGTCATTGATAATGAATGCAGATATTATAAAACGATGCTGTTGTCAGACAGTAGCCAGTGCTTCTGACACTGGATTTTGGAAAATACAATGGTTTTACTCACCCTAAGAACAGTTTATATGTTTATATGGATGCAATGAATGTCTGCTTAACCATGACTGGTCAGTAGTAACTGGAAGCTGTACTAAACTCTTATCTCATGTTTGCACAATTGTTTGCAAACACCATCTTACAGAGATTACATAGAAATTAGCATGCTGTTATTTTTATACTCAAATTTTAGGCCTTTTAGTATTAGCGCAAATTGCTATTCTTTATTAACCGATAAGTGAAATTACTGCTAAAAATCAAGAATTACGAAATGAATACGAGACTTTCTAAAGATGTAAAAACACAGGTGGCAGGTGCACAGAGGAAGTAATTAATGATGGATATTGTAGGCAGCAACCCTTATTCCTGACATTCTTGATAAAAAAATAAAAATAATCATATATTTGTAACCCAGCATGCATCGCTTTTGTTTATCTAACAGAAGTAGAGGTAATACCATTAGCTGTGAAAGGAATGGCTTTCGTGTAGAATCAGCTGTTATCTTCAACTGACAAAAGAGGTTACTTCCATATAAGGTGAGGAAGACGCAAAGCCTGTTGTGCTTACCGGGAATTTTGACAGGACAACAAACCTTGTGAATGGTGAAATTTTATTCTAGCCGCTCTACAGAGAGAGAGAGAGAGAGAGAGAGAGAGAGAGAAAGAAAGAGAGAGATAAACAGTGCCACTGTACAGAAGAGCTCTTGTGAAATTCACACAAAAAATATTGTTTTTACTCTTTATCATTTATAATTCTCCATGATGATGTATTTCAGTATGAATTTACAAGCGATGTATACAGGTGTCATTTCTAAATATATTCAAAATAGTTCCCTAAAAGTCTTTGAGGAAGTATGTTTTTTTTCTTTAAAAAAAATGAAAGAAAAGAAAGAAAAGCTATATTCTTACAGCAAACCATAAAGAAAGAGGTCTTGTATCTTTGGAGGGATAGCAGACTCAAAGTTGAGGGTTGCTTTTTTTTTTCTTCTTCTTCTTCTATCTTCATTACAGTTGAAGTCCTGACTACACATGAAGGAGAGGGAAGAGAGAAGCAGAGCTGGTGATACAGTAATTCTCACCTGCCATTGGAGGAAGAGCACAGATGTCCCACCAAAATAAGCCAAGCCCTGACCGGTGACCAACCACTCTACTAGCCAAAAACATGGCCTGATAATGACCAGCCAGCCAATGAGAAAGTTGCACTGGGATCAGGTCTTTAACCTCTCCCCCAAAACAGCAGCAGCATCTTCATTGTGTTAAACACAGATAATTTTTTTCCTCTCAAATATGTATATACTCATCACACCTGGTTACAACGCATTAGTGATCATAACATCATAACAAAAATATCAAACGAAGAAAAGAAACAAAACATTAAAGTTGTTACATCTGGGGTTGCATGCCATCACCTCATAAGTTATCATTAAATGTAATTAAAATACATTTTTGCCATTAAAAAATAGCAGGGTTGTCATCACAAGAGTGTGTCTGAGAGTGTGTGTGTGTGTGTGCGTGTGTGTGTGTGCGTGTTTCTTTGTGTATGTTTGAACAGAAAACATCATCAGTATACATGACAGTTCTGTAAAAGTAGAACAAACGAACAAATTGCGATGAGTTCATAAAACGCAAGGGTGCCATTTGATATTTTTCTTTTTTTTTTACATGTGCATATTGTTCACTTGTCAGCTCACACAAGCAGCATGTGGAGATAAATATGATAGTAATAAATATGTAGATAAGATGCAAAAAAAAAAAGAGAGAGAGAAAAGGACAAATCTTGCTCTTCAGTCAACACTGGGTAAGCTGATTGGGAAGCTAGGGGGAGATTCACTGCGGTATTCCAAGAGTACAAAAAGGGCGATATGACAGTGGTTAAAAATGGAGCTTCAATCGAAACACAGTGGCTAATGCAGTCAACTGCCATTCAAAGTCATGGAGAGGAGGAACTATAAGGGTAGCATTTCAGATTTTGGATGTTTAAGAATCATCCTTCATTCTGTGAAGGGTGCTCAGCTTAGTGTGAAGTGGAGCTGCATACAGCACATCCCACACACTGGGAAAACAATCTAAGCCCCCCTCTCACCCCACCCCTACCGCTGTCCCTTCACTCCCTCCTTCGTTTCCTCTTTTATCTTTGCTTGGGTTGCATGAGCTCAGGCAGAGAGCTGAACTGGAAGACCTTGGACTGGTAAACATCAAAAAGAGAAAAGTTTGATTCTGCCTTATGGCCGCTTCTTCTTCGTCTTTTTTTCCCCTTCTTTTTTTTTCCTACAAAAAAACAAAACAAAAAGAAATTCTGCGGCACATCCTACAGCTCTTGCTACTGTTATTAACGCCCCCCTAAAACATACAGAATCATCCTGAGGTATATTATTTGAAGCAATTTTGGCTTTTGTAAATCTAATCAATCAAGCAAATCAGTCAGTTAAGATCGTTACATGACATTTTTCTTTAGACAGTACATTTTATAAAGCATGATGCTACCAAGGAAAAAAAAATCTATGCATGTGCAAGTCTTTTTCAGTTTAGTGTTGTCAAAGAAAAAAAAGGAATGAACGAAAAAAAAAATACACAATCAGATTAAGAACCAAATGTTCTGGTTAAAAACTTCAAGCTTACCCAAGTTCTGCCATGCGCGCACACACGACTTATTCCATGCCAATGGATGGATACGTAATTGATGACCACATAACACCCATCCCATCCCGCATCCCTCCCAAACAACGCTCCGAAGGTAAACAAGGGATCCATCCCAAGCAGTCTTCACATCCTCAAAAGCCCTGGTTTGTTGTAGATCAACAGTTCCACACAAAGTTAAATCATCGAAAATTCTGAACGTAATCCCAAGCTAAACTGCAGAGGCTGGACGAACCAACCAAAGTTAAATTTTTAGTACAGAAAATGATTCAGATTAGCTCTATAGACATCAAACACTCCAGCGATGTCATATTGATGGAGAAAGGGAAGAAGGAAAGATGAAAGAAAGAAGGAATCATTGGTGTTTTTCATAGCTAATACCCTGTTTCTCAGTGGCGTGGATAATAAAATAATAATTAATAAAAAAAACTCACACATTATTGCCCACCAAAAACAAAATGATGGTGGTGGAAACAGCTGCGCTTAACCTTTTTTATTTTGTTTATCTCATCTTTGCTCTCTTCCCTTCCACCTTTACCTCAATCATGACAGATTTAAGAGGGTAGAGGATCACCACGTGATGGTGCACACAGCCATCCACCGCATCCGGCAAGACGCAGCTACTTTTAGAAAAATGTAAAATATGTCTTAGAGTGTATATGTGTATTTTCTCTTCTCCGACACAAAATGAAATCAACACATGCAAAATAATCTGCTACTCATGAAGGTATTTTTCAGTAAGCTTTGTTGTTTTTTCTTTTAGGTTTTTTTTTTTTCAAAAGCAAATGTGGGAGGTTTAAACTAATGGCTATTGTGCTACCAAATAAGCAAACACTAAAATCCTACATAGGGGGATCCGGATGCCAGAATCCCTAAGAAATCTTATAGTTCAAGAGAATAAAAGCAATACTTCGCAATTATTGTTTGTTTTTTTGTGCAGAGCCACAAATGAAATGCCCATCAAGTGCCTTAGGTTTCCCTGCTCGTCTGTCCTTTTCTATCAGTCATTTTGTCAGCATGCCTTTTATCTGTCAGTCTGTAAACAATATTCATTAAAAGCACCTGCATCGCTCTCAGCTTCTCATCACTGTCGCGTCCCTCAGCGTGGGCTGAACATACAAAGTTGTATTCTGAACAAGAACACGCTATCAAACAGCCACAAACTATTTGATGCTCCACTATGTGCCAGTTAGCCAATCACTTCCTTCCTCACTCTCTCTCTCCTCTTCCACTGCCAGGTGTCTTAGTGCCCATATTTGTCAGCATAACAAGCAGCAGACCGTTGGACTAGCTCTCTGTGACGCCCCTGCCCTCCTGGGATGCCTCCATGTCTGGCCTGCCCATCTGGTCTTTCTGTCAAGCCTTTTCTCTTCAGCTGGTGAGCTCTAAGGTTGACAGTGAAGGTGGAAAGGAACACGGTGAGAAGGAAGGTGGACAGTGGCTAAAGAGCTTCCTCTCGCTTCCTTTAATTCCACTGTCATATAATTCATCTCATCCTCCTCACCACCTCCTCGCACATTTCAATGCCAAATCAACTGATTCCTTTCTGAAAGCTATTGCAGGGAGCCCTGTGTTACTCTAACGTATACGGTACCATATTGGTTCCACTTATGGGGCTATGTCGTTTTCTACTCCTAAAAACCTAGGGATTAATGATTACCCTCCTCTTTACACAAGGATACCTTATGGCAGAGTGCTGGCCCTATAGCTGTCTCACTGGTACATGGGAGAGAATGGATAGAAATGGTGATATCAAGAGAGTAGTAGTAATACCGTCATACCCAAGTGGGCACAAGTTCGTTTGGATTACAATGTTGAAGAGAAGAAATCGTAGTGTGGCTATGGCATCCCTTATTGGATAACATAGTTGATAAATTATAATACAAACCCAGAGAGGAGTAAGAAGGAGAGAACACATTATTTCTTATATCAACTAAACATCTGACTCCAGACTGGGAATTTTTTTATACACCCGTCTATTGCTGAACTGGGCTGAGTTTAGGACGCCACGTGGGGCTGGGTATGCACTAGTCTTATTGGCTGAGTAAGGCATCGCATGCTCTTTATTGTACATGTCATTAGCTATCCGCCCGTCCCGTGAGCAAAATGAAGTGGTGGATTTAACAGAAGAGCGGAGATTGTTCGCATCGTTGCGTGTATTGATGGGAGCCACTGAAAGCTGTTGGTAAATATCAGAGGAGCTACGCCCATGGACCAGTCTGCTGCTGGTGTCATCCCTCAGCGAATGACTGAGAAAAGGGTTTTCCGAGCCATGGGCCGGGTACAGGGACTTGCTCCTCTTGCTCTCCTCTAGGTTGTGGTTAAACAGCATGGACTTGGACCCAGTGCCAAAGAGTCTGCCAGAGTAGGGACGCATACCAAAGAGGTTCGCATAGTGCGAGTCAGACGTGGAGTCCAAGAAGCGATCCTTCTCCTTGAGGCTGACACTGCGTGCCGGTCGGCCCAGATCTACATCTTTGGGCTTTTCAAGCATGATGTTGTCAAAGGAGTGCTGACGACTCAGCCTCAAGCGATTTCTTTTTTGGACATGCGGGCCATCTGTCTGTGGCCAGTACAGACCAAACATTTCATCCGGTTGCTGCTGCTGTTGGTGATGCATGGTAGGGCTGACCAAAGGGTCTGCAAGGAGCTGGTCCTCACTAATGTCATACAGGTTGGCCGTGTGGAGGCACGCTTCACACCGATTATAAGGTGAACGTGTGCCCGAAGCTGAGGCAGAACCAGTAGAGGAGTACGGCCCTGCAGGTGGGTAGCTAGCAGTCACTTTGGATAAGCAGGAACGGCAGTGTGTCTGTTTGTAGCGATCAATGGATTCATGCGGGGACAGGTTTTTCTCTTTTAGGTTGTAGTGTTTTGAGTAGGCTGGATCTGGTAGAAGATCTGAGTCTGTATGATGCAAAGGCGAGGAGTTCAGATGAATTATGGGCTGCTCACACTTCCTATAGTTGTCACTGTGGTCGGAGTAGATTTCGGGGTATTCCAAATCGTCCGCAGCAAGACCGCGGCTCTCACGGTAGTGAATGGGGTCTGAGTGGAGGCTCAGCTCCCGGTCTGAGTCGATAGTGTAGATTTTCTCTCCTCCTCCTCCCCTCCCAGTTTGGTTGGTTCCGCCGCTGACCTGCTTAGTCTTTAAGTAGGACAGCTCCACCTCACTGCAATCCCTTGGGTATTTTGGCGTCACCGATCTTTTTTTTAAGTTGTCCTTGGGCTTCAGGTGCTTGTTGTTTTCTGGGTCCTTGTAGGAGGCTGCTCTACTAGAACAGTCTGAGATGTCAGAATGGGCTGCATCTTCAGGGAGGTACCGCTGAGTCTTCATTGACATTCGTGGGTCTGGCATCAGCATGTCAGGCATCGGCGAGGGCCCGGGTGGTACTGAGCGAACCGTGTCCACCGACTTCTTCCACAGCGTGCGTTGCGGTTTTGCGTTAGTCTGGACTGCGTCAGCACTTACTGCTACCTCCACTGTGTTGGGATTGGCATCATTCAGGGTCAAAGGATGCTGACCTCCCTGGAAGATATAGTTGTTAAGATGATCTTTGTGGCGGTTAGCGAGATAGGACTGCAGGTCGCCAGCATCCCCGTAGATCATATCTTTGGGGGCATAGCTTCGGTTGTCAGCGTAGATGAAGTTCCCCTTCTCTGCCATCATGTCCATGATCATAGGACCAGCCGAGTGCATGAACTCTCGTTTGGGCGAGTTCATGCGGGAGCCACCCAGGTTAGACATGTTGGTCATCTGTTTGGCCGACTTAATGAGCTTCAGCATTTTGTCCTGGGGGCTAAAGTCCAGGTCTGACTTTTTCTTCATGTCAATGTGAACTCCATGGATGCAACTCCAGATTCCCTGCATTTACATACATGGATGAAGACGAAGGAAAGGAGAGGTGAAAAAGGAAGGAGAAATGAAAAGGGCGGGAGAGATTCAATGGAATGAGATGCACAGAATCCAATGCAAAATTAGTCACCCACTGTAACCATGTAATTGTAATGCAAGTACAGTTTGAAAGCATATTCAGTTTATCTTTCTTTCATTATAAAACACATTTGGGGTTTTCTCTAAACAAAATAAAAAATTAGAAATATTACATTAAAAATTCTCTAATAGCATCTGTCAACAATAAGGGGAAACACACATTCACAAATTCTTTAACTCTCAGCAGTCCAAATCAGTAAGATGCTGAAAATTCATTAATGAGGTTAGATTTCTAATATCTCCAGAATCTCTCTTAGAAGTATTCACAATGTGACATAAGCCTCATGTAAGCAAAGCAGTAAGCAAAGCAGTAAACAACAAAAACTACCATCAGTTTGACTTTTGAACCTTAAGACAAACTATTGAATGAGCAAGTATTGAGTAAACAACAGCTGACAGTTAAATGTCTAAAACAGCCAAAGAGCTGTTTATAAAAGAACAAAAAATCCTTTCACCACTGTGACAACTTACTAGTTCACAAATTCATTCTCAGAAAACATTTATCATGTCCCGAAATCAAACAACCTTTTGGTTCAATACACACTTTGCAAAGCTTATCGTGACAAAACGGGCAATTACGGTTGTATTTTGTTTTAAATTATTATTGAGAATGGCTTTGAAGTAACTAGTGCACGAACATCACTTTTAACTTTCACATACACAGCTTTAAAATGAGAACAAAGAAACTTGCTGCTTTTAGAGATACACGTCTCCATTGTATGTTCATATACACAATAAGGGACAATGCTAACCTTTTAGAAAAATGAGAGAAAATACATTGATTTGGCATGAGCTGCCATCATTTTACCCCCCCCAAAAAACATGTTGCAATTAGGATCTATTAGGATCTATCTTGTCGATATTCAGGTCCGCCTCGTGATCCCTCCCCCCTGCGCTCCTGCCTCTCATCCTCCTTTGTATTGCTGTCCCGCCTTTCCCTTGTTTAACTCAGTTTCTTAGCTTATCAGCAGCTTTCTTTCCCTGCCCGTATGTGTGCATGTTTGCTCTTTTCTTTTATTCCGCTGACAGAAAATAGAACTAAGAGAGAGCTGTCTAACCCCAATAATACATTATTAGCCCACGAGTCTAGTTGCAGTCTTCACTGCAGCTCATCGCCTTGGACACATCCGCTGTTAACCCTCTAAGCTGCTACTTTTTCACCAAAAGCACCTTTTTCGTCTGTTTGTTTTTCAAGCAACTTAAACTAAAGATCACATGAAACAGCAAAAGCTGTTTTTAACCCTATGGTGCGCAGCTATAGAACAAACCACCATGCTAGTAGATGGCTGTAATGCAGAAGTATGTAAAGTGAGAGATGGACGACACAGTAACAGTAGTGATCATGAAGTTCATTCAAGTTGTGCTTCGGCTGAAAGTGGATGGCTGTTTTGCAATTAGGGTTAGTGAATCAGCAGCAGTAATATATCAGAGTCAAAATCATCGCTTCAGTAGAGGGACTTTTTGGGGGATAAAATGATTTAACCAAAAATTTACTTTCCAGCTGACTCCTGCAGTGGAAATGCAAAAAGCTCCTCAACGATTCATAGAGAATTTCATTTTTATGCAACCTAAATACTTACAAAAATGGGTGCTTACCCGACTGATGCTGAAAAGAAGACCCGGCTTGCCGGAGCAGACCCCAGTGAAGCAGTATCTAAGCCTCCAGTAGAAGAGATGCTCAGAGACAAAGGTAATGAGGGAAAGCCCCATGGCTGTGGCCAGCATGTAGAAGACCCCTGCCATGTTGTCAATATCCAGCTGACTGGACATCACCTCATTCTTCTCATTGTGGCAAATTCCTGTGAGCCACTGGGCTTCTAGTTCCTCCATTTCACCTGAAAGGAAAACAACAAATCCTTTACCAAATAGCTCAAAAACATAATGGCATACAGGATTTCCATGTTTAGACAAGTCAGAAATTTACTGTTAACTTAAAAGCTGCTGCAAATTTATTTTAGGCCAATGGTGAGATCCTTGATACAGACAGAAACTGAGGATTGTACGGCGTGCAGTATTGCCATGCTCTGCAAACCGCTTTGCAGCCCACTACTTCAACAACTGCACTTTCCTATTCTGTGTTGCACATAATCAATGTCATACTTGGTGTTCTGCGCTGGGACCTCACTGTAGCCCACACTCCTAATTTTCCTACAACAGAGTCACAGAGTACAGCCAAATATAAATTCTTGCAGTTAAAAATAATCATTTTCTTTTGACTAGTGGTCCTGAATGAACTCTAATTGAGCATAAAGAATATAGATACTGCATTTCTACCCTAGAAAGGCAATCTATAAATTCAATGGCTGGTAGCACCTTTATATTCTGTCACTTGTCACTGGGCTTACCGTCTCCTCTATGTTGGCCAACAGGGCAAAGATATGTTGTAAATGTGGATAAAAAAAGGTACAAAGGAATAAAGACCTTATCTTTCCTCATTTCTTACTCTATGTTCCTTTCCCTCTGTTCCCCCTCTTTTTCCGGCTTCCTCTGTGACATTTGGCGCGTGGCTAATCCAATCGGTGTCATTCAGGGCCGGATAACTAAGGCTGCTAGTGGGAAAGACAAATATCATGGTGGTGTTCAGCTAGATGTCTTTGGGGTGCAGACTCAATAAGACATCATTAGCCTGTTGGTACAATTGAAGAACATTTATCTCATGTCAGACTTGCAAATACATGACTAGACGTAGCCATGCTACCTTTTAAATGAAATTATGGCATGCCGAGAACTGGCTTCAAAAGCAAATTAAGGTGAATGACATTGTTATCAACAGGTGACTTTGTCTCCACTTTTTGTTTAATCTATTCAAGGGAAAGGCTGCTGCTCATGCTGTTGCTTTTTCTCCAGAGGGGAAACTATTGCTGAAATTCAGATTTTGTTCTCGTTTCAGTAGTCACACGGCTCAAGCTATAGTCTGGTGTTCAGTCGGTTGGAACACAGGAACACAAGTCCCTACAAGTCGGGTTTAAAAAACATGTAGCATGGAGCAGCTCAGACTTTATGTGTCAGTCCAGTTCAGCAGATTCCTTCAAAATTTGTATCTATGTTTTACAATAAGCCTACCTCATAAATCAAAATTAAACCATTCCCAAACGTGACTTGATGATATGAAATGCAATGAGAAATGCATATGTTCAGCACTGTGCTTTATGTAGAATGGGAAAAAAATGGTAAGAGCACAAGTGTGGAGAAGTTGCCAAACAGGTGCTGCTAAGACAACAGGACGTTAGAGTTTTCTAATTATATGTATTTTATGTGAACATTTGTTATTGTTTTTAAAAACCACTACACAAAGTGTGGCACTGGTTTCCAGGCCACCTCCTTTTTTGTCTCTTTTCCTTCTTCACCTCCCTTCCCTCTCTACTTTTCTCCAGATTAATCTTCTCTTTGTCTCTTCCTTGCCCATGAAATGCCATATGCTTTCCGCCCACATTCTGTCTATCTGATCATGTAGCATCTGCCGAGACAACAAGTCACTGTCATCTATCAAGTACCTGCCCTTCTGTCACTTCCCATCTCTACCAGACACACTTGCTTTCCTTGTCTTGCTCTTGTCCCATGCCCTGTGCCTCATCCTCTTTTCTTTTTTTACCTCTCTCTGACCTCCGTGCACGCTGCCTCTTTTCTGACGCTGTCATCACTATTTCATTCATTTCCTCTTGTTACACAAACTTTCTTTTTAGGTCTTTGTCTCGTGCCATTTCCTTTTATCCCTCTCACTTGCTCTGTTCACCTTTATCTTTATCTTTTTGGCATTTGTCTTTCTCTTTGTGTGTGTGTTTGTGGGTGGGTGGGGGTGCACGACAACTAGTTTATACCAGAAGCTATTAACATGGTGCAAAGAAGTATGAAGAGATTGGACTGCAAAGAAGTATTAATTATCAGGAGAAGATAAGGCAAAACAAAAACACAGAGCCTGATTCCTATCAAAATTATCCAGCTATGGAAACATGATGGAGTGTGGCCTGCATGCTCAGAAGCCCTGATAAGATTCAGTTAGAGGGGATTATTGTGACACCAATGTTCATTTAATCAACTTCAGTGCACTTACTGTGAGTGGCTGTGAACGCTCGCATCAGCAAAACGCTTTCGATGCAAAATGTAAATGAATCTTGTCACTAAGAGCTCTGGCTGTCTCGTGTTCGCGCTGTTTTGCAGTAAGAAATTTGTTTAAGTAAAAACTTTTGAGGCAACTGTAATAAAGGAATCTGGTAATTCAGATAGAGTACATACACGCACACACATCTGGTGCTGCAGAGAGGAATACATTAGAATAACTGACACACTCTGCCCTCTGTTTAGAGCAGCCTTTGTCTCCAGAATAACATCAAAGGACTATTTATACTTCACTGCCTTCCCTTTGTGTTGTCAGGCACAGACAAGGCAGCAGAGATGTTTGCATGTGAGTGTGTGGTGGCTGAATTACAGGACTGGCAGTGTAACCTTTTGCCTTTGTGGGTAGTGTCATGCACTTTGAATTTGTATGAGAGTGCTGTGTATGTGTTTCTCACCATCGCCGATAATTGCTAGGATAGCCAGGTCCACCTGTCGTTTCCAGTAGGAACCTTTTTGTAGAGCAATCCCATACCCGGTGGTAGCAAAGATGTACCTGAAATACACATGCACACATACACAAATATAGCGTATAGCATAACTCTAATTACGAATGTCTTCAGTAACATACAGTGCTGTGCAACCCCTCATTTTGCTAGTAAAATGGGAAATGGGTGCAGCAATTATTGAAACAGGGCAAAAAAGAGTTTGTACAATTCTAATAATCTTCAAAGTCAACATTTGGTACGACCACCTTTATTCTTCAACACAGCCTGACCTCTCTTAGGCAACTTTCTTGCTATTTCTTTAAGTTGTCTTCAGGAATAGTTCTTCAGGCTTCTTGAAGGTCAAAGTTCCTCTTTGGATGTTGACTTTCTTTTCTTCTGTTCTCTGTCAGCATGATCCCACATTATGTTCCACTGTTTTCTCCTCCCCGTCTGCTTTACTGCATTGGTAGTGTCTTTGGGATCATTCTCACGTTGCATAACATGGAAAGTGAGGTCATACTTTCCAACAAGATCAACAAAATTTTGCACTCCCCTCTAAAGACAATTATTTGTGTACATGTTTAATTGTGACATCACTCTATTAAGCTACAAAGAAAGTTTTCTAAATTAAGAGACAGAGGATAGAGTCAGCCACTACCGCTAATGTTTAGCTTAAGCTAATACGAAGCTTCAGTTTAGTAAGTAACATGCTTTTAATGAGTAATCATGATTACTCATTGAAGGATTACTCTACAAATAACTGAATTATAGCGATAGTTACCCGCTACCAATGGTCACCAGCTTACATCCCTCATCTCTACCGGCCATGTAGTTCAGCACTGCAGCGTCATAGATGAAGGCATCCAGCTTGCTGTGGGGCGAGAGAGAGAAAACAAAACAAAACAAAAACAAAAAAACAGGCAAAAAACAGACAAATAAAGGGAAATGGTAAGATGTTTAGCCTTTTTTTAAAGCGAGTCAGTGAGAAGTGAAGAGATGAAAAAGAAAACAGAAGATGGGCTTTTTTGTTTTTTTTAAAGAACGTGTTGCTTGCAGATCAATTTTAAAGTGTTAAATCATCTCCAATAGGACTGCAACCCAAGCATAACCAAACACACAGAGGACACAGTGGGGAGTGGTGGCGGTTCAATACACCACGCTTCACTGATGATAGGACCTTGGAGGCGCCTGGACGACCTAAACAAACTTTAGACAGACTCAAACATTTACACTGTCTCGCTTTTCACACTCGCACACACAAGGACTCATAAATAAGTGGGCTGCAAAGTGGAAAGTTGAAGCTCCCGCACTTCAACTGACATTTTCAATGTAACAGATGCCGTTAGTATCCACTGCTCTGTTACCATCTCATTGCCTGTAAATGCTCTCTCTC